ATCTCTAGTCTGAAGGTGAGATGTTGTTGCTCCCGTTTGAGCTGTGATTCGTGGGAACACTGCAGCATGCCAAGGATAGACAAGTGGGCATGTGAGCAGGGCACTGTGTTAAAATGACTGGCTACAAACAAGTCAGGGTCATGCTTATACGCAGACTGGATGTGTTCTGCAAAGTGGTCACCCAGTCTGTGTTTGGTTTCTCCAATGTAGAGTAGGCCACATTGGGTGCAGTGAATAGAATACACACGACTGGAGGCGGTACAGGTGAAATGTTGCTTCACCGTGAAAAACTGTTTAGGCTCTTGGATGGTGAGCAGGGAGGAGATGAAGGGACAGGTTCTGCGGTTACAGGGGAAGGTACCATGGGAATGGGGGAGCGGGAATGGAGTTGGTGGTTATAGAATGGACTAGGGTGTCCAGGAGGGAATGATCCCTGTGAAATGCAGACAGGGGGAGTAAGGGGAAGATGTGTTAGGGTGGTGTTCTGCTGGAGTTACCTGAAATGGCGGAGAATGATCTTTTGAATGCGGAGGCCGATGGGATGAAAAGTGAGGACAAGGGGAACCCGATCACACTGTTTGTGAGAGATGGGAACGAGCAAGGGCGGAAGCACGGGTGATAGGTTGGGTGTGGTTGAGGGCCCTATCAACCATAGTGGGCAGGGAAACCACGGTTATGGGAGAAGGAAGCTGTGCCAGCAGCGCTGTGTTGGAAGGTGGCATCATCCAAACAGATGTGACGTAGGTGAAGGAACTGGGAGAATGGGATGGAGTCCTTGCTGGACGTGGGGTGCGACGAGCTGTAGTAAAGGTAGCTATAGGAGTCAGTGGCTTTGTAATGGATGGCAGTGGACACTTTATTCCCCAAAATGGAGACGGAGAGGTCAAGGAAGGAAAGAGAAGTATCAGAAATGGATGATATGAAAGTTATAAAGGGGTGGAAATTGGAGGCAAAATGAACAAATTTTTCCAGGTCCAGGCAGGAGCCTGAAGTGGTACCAAAGCAGTCATCGATTTACTGAAGAAAGAGTTGTGGGAGCGGGGACCAGTGTGGGCCTGAAACAAAGATGGTTCCACATACCCCATAAAGAGGCAGGCAGAACTGGGACCCATGCAGGTGCCCATGGACACTCCTCTGATTTGGCAGAAGAGAGATGAATTAAAGGAGAAATTGTTCAGTGAGAGAACAGGTTCAGCCAGGTGGAGGAGACGTGGTGGTGGATGGGGATTGTTCAGGTCTCTGGTCGAGGAAGAAGCTGAGAGCTTGCAGACTGTCCTGGTGGGGGATGGAGGTATAGAGGGATTGGACATCCATGGACAACAGGAGGCAGTTAGGGCCAGGGAACTGGAAATTGTCAATGTGGGAGCATAAATGCTATTCCTTTCACACTTAGCTCTGATGAAGAGTCATCTAGACTCGAAACGTTAGCTTGCTCTCTCTCAGTGGATGTTGGCTGACCCTCTGCGATCTCCAGCATTTGTTGTTTTCAGTACAGATTCCAACATCTGCAGTAATTTGCTCCGACATGGACTCTCTGTTCTCCTATGTCTGAAAACCAAAATGATCCCGCTGTGTTTAAAGTGCTGCATGGCGTCACCCCTTCCTATCTCTCACCACTTACAGTTTACATTTCCACTGCCTGTGAACCCACAGTTCTCATGATTCTGACCTCTCCTGTCTTCCCCCCCTCCGCCGCACCATCATCAGCAGCTGTACACTGAGTTGCCGATCTCGTCCTGTTTACAAGGCTTGCACATCTTCTTGGAGCTCTGCCTTCCTCCAACTCTGGCCTCTTGCGCGCCTCACCTCTTTACCATTACTCGCCCCACCCCACAACTTCTGCATCTCACCCATCTCTCTACCTTATTCCTCCCTGCAAACAAACCCCACAACTCGCTCTTTAAAATGGCCAAGCTTTGGAAATGCCTGACTTAATACTGCCCTCTTTGGCTCTGTTATGTGCCTTGCGATATTCCAAATGTGTTATATAAATGCAAGTTGTTGTTCTATGGAAATGTGTTGGCTTCCCTCAGAACCTCATTGTGTTTTTTCCTTCCCTTACACCAGGAATTATAAAAATCATAGCTGTGTGTTCTAGTGCTGCCCTGAACTGGCAGGCTTAACCCTTCGATGTTTCTCTCTCCTTCCTCAAACCCAACTAAACACAGAGAATGGTTCCACAGAGCTCTTTATGATGAGGATGTAACTGAATTAATTACCCCAGTGACTAATTTGGATCTGTTTGTTAAATTGCTGCTAAATGTGTAGTTTCACAACTACTGTATAATTACTCCTTCGCACCTAATTGGAAAGAAAGCACATCCTCTCATATCAAGTTTAGCCTCAAACTATTTAATTGGTGTGGTGTTAGAGCTGAGAGCAGCTATTAACATGCCTCCTGGCTTAAAGATTTTAATTAAAGTTGACTTCAGTCCAGGTAGCAATGCGCGATATTCAAAATACACGTGTTTTCTTCTGACACTTTAGCACAACAGTCCTTTACAATCAACTGACATTCAAATGAAAACAAAACAACGCTGAAAGTATTCAGCACACCACACAGCGTCTGTGGAGAGAAATGAGAGTTAACTTTTAGGGCTATTCTTCTGTGCTCACCCCTCCAGCCCCATCAGAACTGAAGAAAGGTCTAAACAAATGCAGAGTTTTTAAAATGGTGCCAGATGGAGGTACAGGGAGAGCAAAACAGACATTTTGTGATAGGATGATGTCCAGGAGAGTTTAAACTTTTTTCAGTTCTCTTCTGGGATCTAGGTGTCACTGAGGCCAGCATTTATCGCCCAGAGGGCAGTTAAGAGTCAACCATGCTGCTGTGGGTCTGGAATCACATGTAGGCCAGACCAGGTAAGGATAGCAGTTTCCTTCCCTAAAGAACATCAGTGAACCAGATAGGTTTTTCCCCAACAATCGATTCATGGTTATCATTAGATTCTAGATTTTATTGAATTCAAGTTCCACCATCTGCTGTGGTGGGATTTGAACCCAGGTCCCTGGAACATAATCTGGGTATCTGGATTAACAGCCCAGTGATAATACTGCTAGGCCATCACCTTCCTGGGCCCATCCTCGTTGCCCTTAGAAAAACAACAAAGTATTTCGTGATACAACAGCTGGACAATGTAGAAAGACAAAGGTTATGTCTGAATGAGATAGTAATGTACTTGCATTCCCCATGCAGATGGCCTAAAAGCCCTCCGCTTCTTTCTCTCCCGCAGGCCCAACCAGTCCCCCTCCACCGATACCCTTATCCGCTTAACTGAACTTGTCCTTACCCTTAACGACTTCTCCTTCAACTCCTCCCACTTCCTACAGACAAAGGGGGTGGCCATGGGTACCCGCATGGGCCCCAGCTATGCCTGCCTCTTTGTAGGATACGTGGAACAGTCCCTTTTCCGCAGTTACACTGGCCCCATCCCCCACCTCTTCCTCCTCTACATCGATGACTGTATTGGTGCCACCTCGTGCTCCCACAAGGAGCTCGAACAGTTCATCAACTTCACTAACACCTTCCACCCCAACCTCAAGTTCACCTGGACCATCTCTGATACCTCTCTCTCCTTCCTGGACACCTCTGTCTCCATCTCTGGTGACCACCTTGAAACTGATATCTATTTCAAGCCCATCGACACCCACAGCTACCTAGACTACACCTCCTCTCACCCACCTTCCTGCAAGAATGCAATCCTCTACTCCCAATTCCTCCACCACCCCTGCATCTGCTCCCAAGATGGGGTGTTCCACTCCCGAATATCCCAGATGTAGTCTTATTTCAAGGACCGCAACTTCCCCCATTCAGTGGTCGAAAATGCTCCCGACCGCATCTCTTGCGTTTCCCGCACCTCAGCCCTTACATCCCCTCCCCCCAACAAAAACAAGGACAGAATTCCCCTTGTCCTCATGTATCACCCCACTAACCTCCGGATTCAACTTATCATTCTCCGCCACCTGCAATCTGACCCCACAACCAAGGATGTATTTCCCTCCCCACCCTTATCTGCTTTCCGGAGGGACCACTCTCTTCGGGACTCCCTTGTCCGCTCCACACTCCCCTCCAGCCCCACCACCCCCGGCACCTTTCCCTGCAACCGCAGGAAGTGCTACACCTGCCCCTACACCTTGCCCCTCACCCCCATCCCAGGCCCCAAGTAAACCTTCCACATTAAACAGATGTTCACCTGCACATCCACTAATGTGGTATATTGTATCCGCTGTCCCCGATGTGGCCTCCTCTACATCGAGGAAACAAAGCGGAGGCTCGGAGACCACTTTGTGGAACACCTACACTCAGTTCGCCACAAACGACAACACCTCCCAGTCGCGAACCACTTCAACTCCCCCTCCCACTCCCTGGACGACATGTCCACCTTAGGCCTCCTCCAGTGTCACAACGATGCCACCCGGAAACTGGAGGAACAGCACCTGATATTCCGCCTCAGGAGCCTACAACCCAATGGTTTCAATGTGGA